ACTAAATGTCTTAATTATAAATATTAGCTCCCACTATTCCTAGTACATATATTGTAATAAAGCAGGATATTTTAATATTAAAATTCAGACTAAGTAGCTGCATCAAATTATAAGAATAAATATTTTGTAAAAGGATTTTATTTTATGTGAGATATAAACCTTGATGTTTTAGTGGGTCGCTTCTTTTTTTAAAATTTTCTGTTTATTTTTTATTTATTTATGACAATCTTTACATGGTTAATTAGGGTACAAAGGTTCAAGGGCTACAGGAAACTGGGTAAGACTATTATTTCCACATTCCCTCTCTCTTTTTTTTTTTTCTTGTGTCTGGGCTAAAGGGGGAAATAAAAGAAGAAGCCCACCCAGCCTCCCACCCATCCCAGGTTCCTGATGTGGGGCATGCTCCGAGGGTCTTGCTTAAGTGGTTTTGATAGTTCAACAGTTATGGATTGCTGCCAATCTCACCACTCCAGGCACGATGAAAACTCTCCAGAATCTACTGGCTGACATAGTCCACCTTTGAGTCTCTGTTTACCCAGTTTCTCACTGCCAGCCTCTGGCTGGGGGAGTTGAATGATTTGATCTGTCCTCTATTGTGGTGCCTGGTGTCCTCTGCAGGTTCTCTGCTATATTCTCCATGTGCACCTGATTGTGCTGCTCTGTCAGCCTCTAAGGAGGTTTGGCTCTGGCATTTGCATCTTCACTTCTCTTCATGGTTGGGGTTCTGAGTCCAGCAGTTCAATTGGGGAGATCCTCAAAGAAACTGAGGTGATCCCAGACCAGATTCTTGCGTGTAGTTGCAAGTACAGGGCTCAGCACAGTCCATCGCCCCAATCAGCTGGTGATTGCAGTTGCTGAGTTGGTTCTGTTTCCAGCCCTGTCTTCCCCTGGAACCAGTGGGTATTGCAGTCCTGCCCGATTCTGCCCAGCACACACTCAGCCCTCACATAAACCAGTGGGAGCTGCAGCCTAGTTGGAGCGACTGACAATAACCCCCACTAGGCCCGCCCCCTGTGCTGGTTCCCGTGCTTGCCAGTATGTACAGCAGACTAGTCAAGTCTGTCCCACATCCCATTTAGCTCTCATACATGAAAATGAGCATTGAAGCCTAGTTTAACCCAACCAGCTCCACTATCCAGCCCACACACATGCTGGTGGTGCCATTCTGTCTAGCCACCCCTGCCCCAGTCCTGCTTTAGTGGGTTGCTTCTTTTTAATATAGACTTTTAAAAAAAATTTTACATTAATTAAGCTGTTAGACTATTTTTTCTCTCTCTAAAGATGTAGCACCAAAAAGTTGTTAAACTTGTTCTCTAGGTAAGAGAAAAACAAAACAACATCCAGAGGCATCTCTCTGGACAAGAGAATACAAGAACACTGCAAGATGAAATGCAGGTGATTCACCTTTGCCAGCAACAGGAAGTAGATACTGCTGCCCAGGAAAGAGAGGATGAAATACAGGCAGGTGTATGTTTTCATATGTATAAAAATGTATACAGCTGTATGAATCATGGGGTATACAGGACATTTTAAAGCAAGTATGCAAGCATGTTGTGATGGTGGTAGTGGTGGTGGCATTTTTAGCAAGTTGGATATTGTCATGTTAATGCATTTGCATTTGTCTGTGACTCTCAGTCACATTTATCACAGCCTCCTTCAAAGGAAAAACTTTTAATATTTTCCATAAAAATATATTTATTTTAGTATGTCAAAACCTTGAAAGTTACAATGGAAATTCTGATTTGGGCTGTGATTTCCCTCTGAGAATCAGTTTCCTTCTTTGGATCTATTCATGGAGAGCTCAGTTTATGACTGCCAGCAGTAGACAAGGAGAAGTCAGACCAGTAAGAAACCGTCTCATTGCTGCGTGGCTCTTTGGCATAGTGCTAAAATACCCTTTGGCATACCTGCCATTAAAAAAGAAAGAAAGACTGTATTTTGGACTGCGTGGTTTGAGTGACTGCTCCACTCCTGCTAGTGCATGCTCTGGAATGCGGCACATGACATACTCAGATTGTTGGGTCCTTGTCTTAGTAGCCCTGAATTGAGTTTCAGGATTCTGACTTGAGCTTGACTAGCTCTGGCTGCTGTGAGTGGTTGGAAGATATCCCTGGCTGTGACCCTGCATGCCTGCCTCCCTCACTGTCTCCCTGTCTTTCTGCCTTTTATACAGTGTATAAGTGAGCAAATATTAAAAATGTTCCCTATTGAGTTTTGAAATATTTCTTCATTTGTGCTTATATATACTATGAAGAAACAGTGATTTGATGGAAGTACCTTAGAAACGTAGTCAAATGGGCCTGGCTTTTTGGCATAGCAGGAGAAGCTGCCATCTGTGACACCAGCAACCTGTATGTTTGGGTGGTGATTGAGCTCCCCGCTAGTGGTCTGGGAAAAGCAGCAGAAGATAATCTAAGTGCTTGAGTACGGGCCACCCATGTGGGAGATGTAGATGACTTACCTGGCTTCTGGCTTCAGTTTGGCAGCACTGGCTGCTGCAGCCACTGAGCAGTAAACCGGTGGATAGGATCTTTTCTCTCTCCCTCCTTCTAACTCAGACCTCCCCGACTTTGTCTCCTCCCCCCTCACCTAGTCTCTCCTTGTCAGTCTCCCTTTCTAACTTTTCAGTTAACTGAATAATTTAAAAAGTAATGAGTCAGATGACATAAAGAATTGTGGAGCTGGCTTATATTTTTTGCCCCTCCTGGTCATAAGAAACTCAACAAGTTCAATGATAATGAACTCATTCCTCAGGTGGCCACAATGCCTGGAGTTGAGGTGATCCAGACAGGAGTCAGGAGCTTCCTTCCTCCAGTTCTCCCATGTTGCTATAGTGTCCAAATGGCTTTGGGCCATCCTCTCCTGCTTTCTCAGACCACAAGCAGGGAGCTGGATGGGAAGTGGAGCAGCTGGAACACAAAACGGAACCCATATGAGATGCTGACACTTGCAAGGCAAAGCTTAAGCAACTGAGCTATTGCGTCAGCCCCCATTGCAGATTTTTATGATGCATAATAGGATGTCTTACACAGTTTTTTCTACAGTACTTTATATATTTTAAATGGTATTATTTTGTTTTTCTTCATGCTAATGTGACTTAAATCTAATAATATTTCACTGTCAGTTTGTGCCTTATTATGATCACAATACTTTAACAGCATCTCCTTTGGAACAAATATTGTCAGTTTTGCCAAGATTAGATTTGACTTAATTTTCTTACTTTTATGTAATATTTTTTAACTTTGAAAGAATTTGCTTATCATGTTTTATTTCCAAGCTGAATTACTATCATTTGGTGCAGCTTTGTCTTGTGCTAAGATATTGGTAGCTGTCTTAATTTGTTAATCTGGCAGTGGAGCCCCATTTTCAGATTGTAAGAGCTGGCTGGATTAATGTGATGCAGTTATTGGTAATTTGGAGAGAGGACTGTAGATGTGAGGATGATATAGAGGGAGGAGAGGAAACAGCTTAGCCCCTCAAAGTCATTGACATTTCATTGCTGTTCTGAAATGGAAAGCTCTTGGAAGGCCTTGAGCAAAGGATTGAAAGTGAGCACTCTTAATTTGCTCTACAATGAGAAGAGAAAACTTGTTTTATACTGTAGAAGTTATAAACATCAATTCAGGGCCTGAAGCAATAGTGTTGCAGCAAAAGTCCTTGCTTGGCATGCGCTGGGATCCCAGATGGGCGCCAGTTCTAATCCTGGCAGCCTCACTTCCCATCAGCTCCCTGCTTGTGGCCTGGAAAAGCAGTTGAGGATGGCACAAAGCCTTGGGATCCTGCACTCACAAAGGAGACCTGGAAGACGCTCCTGACTCCTGGCTCCTGGCTTCAGATTGGCTCAACTCCAGGCATTGAGGTTCCTTGGGGAGTGAACCATTGGACAGAGGATCTTCCTCTCTGTCTCTCTTCTTCTCTGTATATAAAAAAAATTAGTCTTTTAGAAAAAGTTATAAACATCAATTCAAAATGATCTCTTCTGTGGAATTTGTACCCGTTTCACACAATCACAAATTTATTTATTTATTTTGCTGATTTTACATAGTTGATTAGGGTACAAAGTATCAAGGGCTACAGGAAAGTGGGTAAGACCATTCTCCTTTTTCCACGTTCTCTTTTTTTTCCTTCCTGCATCTGGGGGGAGGAAGGTAAAGGGAGAAGCCACACCCATCCTCCCAACAATCCCAGGGTCCCTGATGTGGAGCATGCTCTGAGGGCACTGCTCAAGTAGTTTCATTAGGTCAACTGTTCTGAATCACTGCCAGTCTGGCCGTTCCAAGCACGATGAAACCTCTATAGAACCCACTGGCTGAAATAGTCCATCTTAGAGTCTCCATTTGTCCCGATTCTCACTGCCAACACTTGGCTAGGATAATTGATCAATTTGTTCTGTCCTCTGTTGTATTATCAAGTGTCCGCTGCAGGCTCCAATGGGTACCATATCCTCCATGTGCACCTGTGTGTGCTGTCCACTGCTCTGTCTGAGCTACTGAGGAGGCTCAGCTTTGGCACCAGCACTCCATGCTCAGACCATGGGACCTGCACTTCTCTTCATGGTTGGGGTTCTGAGATCAGCGGTTCATCAGGGGAGATCCCCAATGAAACTTTGTCTGAGGTGGTCCCAGACCAAATTCTTGTGTGTGCATGCCAGTACAGGGTCTAGCACAGTGCATCACCCCTACCAGCAATTGCAATTGCTGGGTCAGTTCTGTTTCCATCTCTGTCTTCTATATGAACCAATGGGTGTGGCAGTCAAGCTCTATTCTACACACCACACACTTGGCTCTCATGCAAACCAATGGGAGCTGCAGCCTAGTCGGGGCGACTCACAAAAACGTCCACCAGGCCTGCTCCCACAATCACAAATTTAAAAAATCAAATGCAAAACATCTCAAGTCTGTGGCCGTTTATTTGTATATAGCTTAGAAGTAAATATTATTAGTACCTTTTAATAGTACCTTTAAGTGATGTATAAAATTCTAACAGAAATGTCGTCTTAGGAATTGGAGAGCCACCTTAATCAACTGGGTGATAACAAAGAAACACATCCTATATCAGAACATTCACTGAAGGCTGTAAGGAATTACTATTATTACTTAGAAGATGAAATAAATATTATAAAGAAGACAATAGTGGAATTCCAAAGACAAGTATGTATGAAATTTAACATGATAATGACAATTCTATTAAATAAAAAAATTAATTAAATGTTACATTTATTTTAAACCGATTAAGTGTTTAAGAATACAAATTTCCGAGAACATAACTGTCTTTTACATTTTAATTATAATTCATTTTGAGTCAATTTTCACAATATATTTATTAAACTGTCTCCTTTTATGCCACTTACTTTATGTTACATATACATTCTTCCTAGAAAATAGTATTTAGTTTTGAGACTGTTGAGAATTATGTATTGTTCCTCCTGCTAGCTGACCAATGATAATGCTAATAAAATATTTATACCTTGAAGTTCTTTCTATATATACCTTTTTCCCCCTGATTTTATACTTCCTAATTTCAAGTGAGGTGTATTTTATTATTTCCATTTCACAGGGAAGAAATCAACATATAGCAAGTGACATTGCTCAAGGTCACATAGATCCTAGAGTCAGAATCCAGGCATTCTGGCTTCACTGTTGATACTGCCTCTAGAAGATTCCATTGTAACTGATTGCCATGGATAATTTCCCATTTTATAGATTGCAGTATTTTTCTGAGAAGATATTATGAAAAACAAGTCTACTGTCGTGTCATTTTCCCAGAGCAGCTATTTATTAACTTTGTGTAATGGATCAGTTTTGTTTTAGATTTGAGGCCATAGGATGCCTGTTGCCACAAATCAGAATTTTAATTTCCAACATGAAAGTAACCGTGAACAATATGTAAGAGTTGTTGCTATATTCCAGTAAAATTTTAATGACAATCTAAGTAATGAGCAGATATTACTAGGTACTGGTACATTTTGTGTTTTTTTTCTTTTAGTACCAAGAATCACAAGATCAACAAAATGAGATGGTACCAAGTATAGAGAAAATTCAAGATCACCTGAAAATGTACAATTCCAACCTCTCTGCAAAATAACTTCTCTTTCTAAAGCATATATGTCATGTAACTACATGTCTGTGAAGCCAGAAGAACCTTCATCTTTAAACTATTCTGAAATGCATAGTTACTCCCTAGAATCCCTAATGTTAGACTTTATTGACATAACACCATACAGTCATGAAGTATTTGCCAAATTCTTGTTTCAAATTTCTAAGAATATACAGAACAGCACCCTCAGATATGTATTCAGAAATGTGTTTTCTTTCTTTGAGGGGAACCTCTAAAAGATGCATTCCCCACCATTAATATGGGTCTTTTTCTTGTCCTCCTGCCACTATGGCAGAGGACTAGGGTCTCTTTTTTCCACTTTTCCTCCTGCCACTATGGCAGGGGTAAGGGTCCTTTCTATCAAAGCCCCCTCCTGTCACTAGGATGGGAGTCTCTCTTCTCAACTTTTCTACTAAATCTTGCTTTAAAACTGAAAAAAAAAAAGAAATGTGTTTTCTTAAATTGTTTCGTGGGAATAATTAATATGAAATATCCATTTTAGGTTCAATCAGAAGTACAGTAAGTTTAAAAATGTAGTGCTACATCAAGCAAGACTAATGAAAAAACGGGAAATCTTGCTAAAACAGATTTCAGTAAGTCAGCATTCAATTACTATCAAACTGAGAAGACTGTTTCTATTGCTAATGGGAGATTATAAAAATGTTAAATATAACATGAAATTGATAAATATATTTACTGTATACACATTGGTAGTACTTGCTGTAAATAATTTATATTCTATTAGTTTTATGTTAGAGATTGAGTAAGTAAATTGCATTAATGATTTTGGGAATAGGATTTTAATTTTAAGATTATAGTAAACAAAAAAATAGCAAGTATACCAGGTTGTGTTTGTCTTTATATCCATTGATTTACTTGGGATTATGTTCATATTTAAGCTTGTATGTGTTATGCTGCTATGGAAGCTGGTGTATCAACACCTGTTGGAGTCTCTACTTCTGAGTAATATATTTTAAAATACCAACAAGGGAAGAGTAGTGAAATCTGAAATTCTGAATTTCTTTTTTAATGGAAACTCTTTAGTGGAATTATATACTACCTTATTGGTGTTCTAAATTTTACTCATATAATATGACTACATTTTGTTAGAAATACCTGCAACTCAGCAGCTCTGTCACTGTATCAAAATATGGGATCAGCTAAGATATTCCTCATAAGATTAATTGATGTAGAAAATATGGGTGACACACACATGCATGTAGTGCAGCTACAAAAAAATAGTGAAATCTGTCATTTCCATCAAAAATGGTCGCAACCAGTGGACATCATGTTGAGTGAAAGCCTAAATACCCTGTTTTTTTTGTATGTTTAAGCCAGTGTTTTTGAAAATTCTAACAAGTACAAAAAGTAATAACTCTGCATGCCAGTTTTGTTACAGATACATTGTTTTATTTATTTAACTTTGTTTTAAATCATTGCCAAATACTTAAGAATTTTAAACTAGTTTAGTTTTTTTTTTTCTTTAAAAACAGGAAACATATAAGGACAGTACATTTGTCACGATCCTAAAGATATGGATGCCTAGAATACTAGAAAGCAATGTTCGGCTCAGAGTCACACCCTTGGGCTTTCACTAAGTCAGTATAAAGTTCATCATGAGAAAAATAGAGAACTGAGTCTGTTGGCTAAGTAATACAAACTAATTGTGCAGGAAGATAATGCTTTATGATCCCTAATTTCAATAATTAGCAGGAACCTCTGTGCATGATGAAGGTGAAGTGATCTCTGTGGCGACATTCAAAATACAGATGCCCTCAGGTGTTTGATAGCCCCCTGATAATCTCGTTGTCCAACTGAAATTGTCAAAAATCCATGCAATACACCTAGCTTCCTCAATCCTAGCTTAGCAGCATGTTACACTGTAGAGTGCTGGTCATTTCCTCTTACGAATGTATGTGTGACTGGCTGACACCCTCAGAAAATATATGGCATATTTCTAGCTCTGGAAAGGATTAAAATTCAAAGTATGTGTCCTTGGAAGACTTATCACTTACATGCCATTATAAAAGATGAAAAGTTGTTAAGACTTCACAACTTTGGAGCACATTTTATATAAATATGACTTAAATTTCAACATTATTTAAAAAATAGTAAGAGACCTATTTTATCAGGCAGATTTGACACACGTTCATCAGCAACACAATGGCATGGAGAAGAAGCAATCTGAAATTGAGGCATTGCTGAAAGATGTGGCACAGTTTTACCTTCAGTTCAAGAATGAGTCTCAGGATGCAAGGAACAGTTTAGATAAACTCCACAGGAACGTATGTATGCTATTTAACATGTCTGTAGGAATTTGAGAGCTGATTAAATAATAATACTAGTTTTAGTATGCAAATCCCAAAAATACTTTTTTGGAACATTTTCTAAAATTTTAGTACACATTTATAATTCACTTAGTTCTTAAGCCCTGGCATCCATCTACCTATGTGTTGTTACATGTTCTTTGTTAAAATAATAGTCACTGTTAAAAATTGAAAAATATAATCATTTTGTTGCAGAAAATGAGGGTAATTTTTCCTTTAAACAGTATTTGTTATAGTGATATTTCAATCATCATAGTAAAACAAGTCAGTTTAAATTATAGGATTAAAAATTAGTAAGATTCTCAAAAATAATTCTCCCCCATCAGAAGCCATTTTTTTCCCTACAATTTATTTATTTTTATTGGAAAGGCAGATTTACAAAGAGAAGGAGAGGCAAAGGGGACGATCTTTTGTCCACTGATTCACTCCCTAAATGGTCACAATGGCTAAAGCTGAGTCAGTCAAAAGCCTGGAGCTTCCTCTGGGTTTCCTTTGGGTTATCCTTTTCCACCTTGTCAGGCCATAAGCAGGGAGTTGGATGGGAACTGGACACCAGGGGCATGAACTAGTACCCATATGGTATGCTGGAGCTTGCAGGCAGAGGATCAGCCATTTAAGCCATCATGCTCCAGATGCCATTTTCACTTATGAGTGCGAGGAATAAGTGAAATTTGCATAAAATACCAGTTTCATTTGCATGCTGCTTATCTAAAATCTCAAAACTTTTAAAAGCATGAAATCAATAATAATAATCCTTGACTGGGTCCTGTTGTTTTGTGTATTGGACCAGGTGATGTCTATTGTAGTAAGTTTTCCAGAACAATATGCAAATAAAGAGGTAAAATTATAACCGCAAAAGAGGCTAATGAGCAGATGTATATTTGGGCATTGCTAAGGTTTGTATCTCTTTTTAATTGTTCATTTCAGTTGCAAGAATCAGAAGCTGTCCACCTAGAAAAGCTACAAAATGGGGAGAAGTCGCTAGATGACCTGGAACACTGTGCCTCAAGGTACCATGCAAATTAACTCCATTCATTGTAAAGTGCAGTAGCCATAACAGTAAGACTATATATTTATCATAATAAACACATCTGTATGAAGCCAAGGGAAATGTTAGCTTTAAGTTCCTTTCAGTGCATCCTTTTTGCACACACTCCCTAAACGTTCATTACATGTTATCTACACAAGCGCACAAGGAGACAGGATAGTTGCCAAATCAACTGCTTTTCAAATTTTAAGAATTTGTATAACTATAACTTCTGTTATTTATTCAGAAACCTTTGTGTGCATGTTTAGAATGACATGTGACAGCATTTTCAATATACATTTTAGGCTTCGGTGTGAAAGCTTGAAATTACAGTCTGACCTCAGATTGTGTGCTGGCAGTATTGAAGAGCTGCAGAGGATCCTGGTAAGAGCACTTCTGTAAGTCATACTGAAAAGGAGTTTCTGTTTTTGTAACGTAAACTGTGTAAATACCTTGGCCAACATGAAATCTTATAAGTCTATCATCTCTATTCCTAGAAATGCTGCTTGCTACTACCACTGCAGATCTGCTACTTTTGTAGAAGGAATGGGCTGAATTCTTGTTTTAGTAGCAAAATTTCAATTTAAAATTGTCATACATATTTTTAATGTGTCTTTTCTCTGCTTTCATCCATTGCTGTGTCCTTGTATTATTTCTACCTTTTGTCTACCATGAATAATGTTGTCATGGGCATACAGCTGTCACCTGTCAAAAACTGTACCTTTTGAATAGTGAAGAAAGCTGAAAAATGATGCAGTCCAGAATTCTGGATCTTTTTTGTTAAACTGTAAACTTTTTTCTTTTTGTTATTGTTGTTTTTTATGATATAGTTTCATAGACACAGGGATACTCCCTACACTTCCCCTGACTGTTTTTTCACTGTATTATTGCTGCTTCAGCAAAGTTACAAATCCAACCTTTTGCTGTGTAAGTGTATCGTGGTGGTGGAAGTAAACTGTAAACGAGTAAGATTTTTGAATGGTTTACTTTCTAAGGTGTAAACTGTATTCCATATGCAGAATGAATACTGGTTCATTCTGCATGCTTTTACCTCACAAGGAATATGTTACCTCTTCAGAGTTTTAAAGGAAGTCAGCGTCAGAATCTGGAAATGAGTTACACAGTGCTCCAAGCACTGTAGTTTCGGAAACAAACTCATCTCCATTAGTCGGGGTTCATCAAAGCACACAGTTCATTCTCGCAAAAGATTGATGTGTGACCCCGGATTCCAATTTATTTATGGATAGTGAACAAATAGGATTATCCTGTCATTCATGTCCTTCCTTCATAAGCATTATGATAACAAGATTGCGTGTAAACATAATATGAAAGAATAAGGTTATTGATTTTACCAGTTTTTTAAGTGACAGTAAGTAGGTAGAGTGCTGTTACATTATAGATATTCATATCTAGAGAAAAGGTTTATATTCCCCTGTGATTTTCATGAATTAGGAAACATTGAAAGAATGTATTTTTCTAGACATGTAATAAATAATTCCATATATATTACGTGCCTGTATTGATGATGATGATACTGCCAGGAGATATCCTTTAACCCATCATAATGAAATGTGTTAAGGAGGTCAACATTCAAAACTTAGTAGTGGTATCTAGTAGTTACTGAGTTTGTTAAAATAGTGGAAGATTTCCTGTAGTTCAATAGAGAAACCAGTTGGTAATTTGCCATAAAATTTTTAGTAACTTTGAATTCTACTCTAGGAACCAAATATTAGTAAGAACCATATTCATACCCACTCTGTCAGTAATCACTTATGATTTCTAGAATGTTCTTATTTCATGAATTCTATTCCAGAGAGGATCTTATTTCATGTACACAAAATCATAGTAAGAGGACTGAATTTTGGAGTATACATTGTTCTGCCTGACTATATTGATGTAATTGAGTACATGTCTGAAAGGACTTCCAAAGACTTCTCTAGGATCATACCTTTATGAGGGGAGAGAAGTATTTCAACAAAATCAGAGGAATACATAATCTGATTTTGTAAATGTTTTGCAGTAGCAAAGAAAATTTTAAAAAGTAAGATTGACTTATGTTGGTCAGCTTCCTAACAATGATGGTGTCCCCGAGATTAGAAAACTCAAAAATGCACTCATAAGAATCATCGTAAATTGTAGAGGGTTAATTATCTGCAGAATAATCCACATGAAAGAAGTGTAAAAACATGTGCGTAATGATATGGTCTCTATAAAAGATAAGGCAGAAAAAAGATTAAAATGAACTGTGTGAACAGGACAAAGTTCAAAATATAGGTAGGCAATCTGACATGAAGACTTGGCAAACTGGGAAAATTTTCTAAGAAAAAGAGGAGGCAGAAATAAAATTCATAGGTAGCTGCACTTAAAAGTGAAGTTAATATTAAAACTATGGAACCCAAAAGAAAATAGGTATCAAGCAAATCAAAATAATTTAAACCCCCTGAGAAAAAACATAGTCTTACTTGATTATAGCTAAATGTTGAATCCAGATGAATATAAAATTATATTTGCTGAACTGCTTAAAAATCTACCTTTTATCTAGGAAGTAATTTGGACATGAGAGATGGACACTGTGATGTTTTCAAACTGACTTTAAAACTAGTATTACTCATATATAAAAACCGTTATTAGTAATATGCTACATAGTCCTAGAAATAATTGCCAGTGTGTCTTTACATTGCCACACTGAAGACTGTGTAGAATTCAAATGCTCACACCTGAAAGGCACATTTTGAAATCAACTTTCAATTCAGTGGGTTGCCTTGGCAGTTATGTGAGGTTTCCAAATAAACTAGAGCATAAATGTTGTATCTCATGATACAATTCCTTTGTACCCCTTTGTCTTTCATTTGTACAATTTAATTGTTACTCATGCCCATTTGTCTTCAACCTGAAGGTATCTCAGTGAATTCTTATTACCTCTCAATAACTCTTCCTTTTTAATTAAGTTATGATTGTAAAAATTTGGGGGAATCTTAACATTATTTAAGTTCCTCAAAGATATGCTTGATTATTATGATGTGGGTATAATTTGCTGTCTGTGGTTTCTTGATTTTGCATTGGGTCCCAGTTCATAGAGTCAGAAGAATATGCAGGGTTCCTGAATCTCAGGTTGTGAGTTAGGGAGAGGATTGTTAGAAGCTGAGTTCATGAAGGAAAGTGGAGGATAAGGTTGCCTAGGGCCATTGCAATTTCAGTTTTATTCTAAAATAGGACTCTGTTGGGAATATTTGAGCAGAGAATTGAAGAATGTTTGAGGAATTCTGAAATTACTAAACAGAGGAAAATTGTTCAATACTGTAAAATTTTTACAGCCCTAGTTCAGCCACATATTTATTGCTTTGTGATGCTAGCATTGGTTAAATGTTGGCTAAATGATGTAATCATATTACAGGAAGATAATGCCTCTGTTTTACCTCAGCTCGCTAATAAGTATGTATACATAAGGGAAAGTAAATGAATTGATGTGTGTAGTGATAGTATTCAAAATTCAGAAACTTCTTGGAACTTTATAGGGCTAAAAACTGATAACCTCAATGTGAAATAGAAAATATCATGATTCAAAAATGCATTTATGGACCAACATTGTGGCACAGTGAGTAAAGCCATGCCTGAATACTGGTTTAAGTACTGCCAGGTCTGCTTCAAATCCAAATTCCTGCTAAGGTGCTTGGTAAAACACAAGATGGTTCAAGTAGATGGATGCCTACAACTCAGGATAGAGACCTGAACAAATTTTCAGACTCCTGGTTATAGCCTGATGCAGCCTTGGCTGTGATTGTGGGCATTTTGGGAGTTAACCATCAGGTGTAATATTTCTTTCCCTCCCTCCCTCTCTGTAATTGTGCGTTCCAAATAATTGTTTTTAAAATGCATGTATTATACTTCATCTCCTTGTCAACCTAGTGTCAAACACAGTACACCATAGAGTGTTGATCATTTGCTTTTATGGTTAGCCAGAAACTACCATTCATTGCTGCTGTCCGTGTCTTAAGGAAGGAGACATAGCATGGCATGTTGCTAGCCTGGAAAAGATCAAAATTTAAAGTATGTTTCCCGTGGAATACTTATCACACTCTATCATAAAGATGACAGATTGTACCTCAAATGATCACAAACATTGAAATAGTTGTATATGCCCTTGAATTAAATATAATCATTTATCAGTAAGATGGTTTATAAAATGTTAACTGGAATTTATTATCAGGCAGATGTAAAGTACCTGCAGGAGCAATATGACGACCTTAAGCGAAGACAGGCTGGATCAGAGGCATCCCCAGAAGATCTGGAAGGGTTTTACCACAGATTGAAACAGAAGACCAGGGAAATCATGGAGAAATTAGGTAAAATCGACAGAGAAGTATGTATGCTATTTAACATGTCAGTGGGAATTTTAGCTAGCTTAATAAAATAGTGTTTTAGGATACAAAATTTCAGTAAACAACTTTTGGTCTAATTTTCACTGTATACAGAATTGTTAAGCACATTGGTGCTTACTCTAAGAATCAAATTTTAAAAATAATCTGTTTCTTTCCCAGTCTATCATTAACTCCAACATTTTGGGAATTTTTTAATTTTATGAATTCTGTGTCCGAGAGTCAGGATCTTGTTTCATGGAAACACAATCATAGTAAAAAGTTTGAATTTGTGAGTATGTGTAGCTGTAGCTGATTCTAATTATGTGCAGCTGAGTGAACACTTGAAAGGACTTAGAGAAGCCTTCTCTAGGATCATATCTTATGTAAGAGAAGTATTGCAATGAAAGCCAAAGAAAAGCATTAAGCTTTTTAGTAGGTAAAAAAAATCAAGATGATTTATGCTGGCCAACTTTTAATTGTGAGGATGCCCCATAAGATCATACAACAAAATGGGCTGGCATTAAGGCATAGTGGTACAACTGCTACCTGTGACAATGTCATCACAAATAGGCACTGGTTCCTGCCTTGGCTGCCCCACTTCTGATACACTCTGTTGATGTACCTGGGGAATGCAGCAGGAGATGGACAAAGTTTGTGGGCCTATCTCATCCATGTGGGAGGCCTGGAAGAAGCTTCAGCCTGGTCCAACACTGCCTGATGCAGTCATCTGGGGAGTGACCCAGTAAATTGTCTCTGTCTGTAACTCTGACTTTCAAGTACATAAGTAAAATCTCAAAACCCCACTCAATGAAAAATATACCCATCAGAATAGGTAATCCATATCACTTAAATGTGTGTAAGGATGTAATCTGCCTGAAGTAACGTAAAAAAAGGAGATAAAAAGAACTCAGTAAGGTGCAGGGCCCAAATTATAAATAGACAATCAGAGGATTAGGGAGTTAAGAAACTGAAAAAAATGTGTAGAAATAAAAAAGGGGGAGACTGAAATTTAGAGGTAGTTGCATTTAAAGGTAAAGTGAAAAGTGTGGAGCAAAAATCAAAGTGTAGCGGGGAAATGAAATTGTTTTAAATTTCCTGAAAAAAAAAAACTTAGACATGTTTAATTTGGGCTAAACATTTAGTTGAGGTGAATGTAAAATTATATAGACCACAGATGTGTTTGCTTATCTGCCTAGAAATACACCTTGTTTCTAGGAAATACATTGGACCTGCGAGATACATTTTGGCTTTTAATAGGTTCACATCATGATAAACCATTGTTAAAGGAAGAGTGTAAGTCAAAAATGCACTTACTACGCATACCCATCTCAGCATGGCTCATCAACACAGTATTTGATGGACTGTTGGTTGTTTTATCTTGTGATGGTTTGGTTGACAAGCAGCTGTTGTTCACTGAGGCCACCCAGGATCCTAAGGGAGGGCATATAGCATGGGTCCATCACTAGCTTGGGAAAAACTTAGAATTCAAAGTGGGTTGTGTATCACTTACACTTCTTCATAAAGATAGAAACCCATAAGTCACTATCACAAATGTGGAACCAGGTGCATGTAATATCAAATCAGTTATAATAAGCATTATTTAATGATAAGATGATTAGTAATAAATATTAACAAATATACTTTATCAGGTAAATGTGAAACAATTTAAAGTGGTTGTTACCCAAATGACTGTACCACAGGCATCGTTGGAAATTATGACACACTATTTCTTTTATGTTAGATGATGAGACAAAGGACTTAAAGATCAAGTTAGATAAAACCAACATAAAAGTACATGTAATATTTAGCATGAATAGGAATTCTAAGGCTGGTTTAATAATATAAGTATTTTAGTAAATGTCAGTAAACACAACTTTCTCGTAAATTTTAATTGTAATATTTGCATGGCTTTATCATTATAATGCACATGTTTTTTATTCATTTTGCCTGCAGTTTTTCTTGTAGCTAAATTCTTTATTAGAATGTTAATTACCTTTAGAAAATATCATAATTATCTATCATTCTATACAGAAGTTAAGAACATTTATCTCATTTGGCAAAATATTTAGTGGTATCCCATTGCCATAGTAGAAAAATGCAGATTAAATCAGAAGATAAAATTTATTAGAGTTCTATAGAATTCTCTTATTTTTGTTTATTGGATAATACATAGACCTGTATACATACATAGATATGTTAATTTAATGTGTTTCAAAGTAACTTGTACAGAAATTCCATTATGCCATTCTACAAAATGCAGATATTTTAGACAATATATACAATCTGTTTGAAGGATTAGTCATTTCCTTCTTTTTCATTTTATATACATATATATAATGAATATGTGTATATATGATGTATAATATATATGCATACACGTGTGTATATATACATGCCAGGAAATGTTCAGATCATGTATACTCTATAAATCCAATATAGAAAATTTAAAAATTACATACATCAGTACCAGTGTTCTGGCTGAGCTATTATGGTTTTGCGAGATGCTGTTACTGTTTGGGGAAACTGGGTAAATGGGAAATCTCTCACTATTTTTCTTTTTACAGCTAAAGGGGAAATGATAAGAATTTTTTTAAATAAAAAAGAAAGCCTTAGTACACATAAAGAAAAAAACATGCACATCTTGTCACTGGATTTTGAAAACTCTTAATTGAGATGCAAAGAAGATTTCACTAAGTTCAAGTGAAATGTTCTCTGTGAAAACATGTGCTTTGATATCAAAATGTTTGCACCAAAACTGATTTATGTGTGATCTGAGACAGCTTTTTTGGTATGTTTTTTTTCCTTATTATTATTTTCCATGATGCAGTCTGTAGGTATAGGTATTTTCTCTCTGCCTCCTCTTTATCCCTCCCTAAACTGCCCGACACCGCCATTTTCCACCATATTATTTCAGGAATATAATCCTTCAGCAACAGTCACAAATCCAACATTCTGCTATTTTGAGTGGATCATGGCATTGCAGATACTGACAGTGGTAGAAAATCTAGTATCATTTTGTCAAGGTATATTTAACAGTTTAATTGGGACAATTTTTAAAAGAACCTGTACACATTTCTGTACATAGAACTACTAATTTACTAGAGCAAAATTTATTGTTCCAAAACATGTTTCCATAGTTCTATTAGTTTTGGAATATTTGTATTGTCCTGAACAGAAGCTTGTATCACCTGTCCGTGACCTCTTCACTCCCCCTTTCTTCCTTATTCCTTCAAAAGAAAGAAAAAAACTGACAGCAACAATGACAACAACAACAACAACAAAAAAAAAAAACAAAATAAAAACAAAGACCAGTCTGTGTTGTGTCTTCAAGAATCACCTGTTTGGAACATTTCATATATAGCGAGAAGCACAGTATGGAAGTCTTTATGGCTGGCTTCCTTAATTTTCCATAATACTTAGAGGATATAACATCTGTCAACCTTTCTTTTGCTGTGAAATAATGTTCTGTCATGTATTAGAATACAATTCTGTTGTGTGAATTATCCACTCTTCATTGATGAACATTTAGCTTGTTTTTGTTTAATGCTGTCCTTTCCATTGATTCACGCATTATTGCATCACAGAGTTTTTCTTCTCATTGGATTTAATCAAATTCTGAATTAACTGGGCTTGTTTCTCCTTATCTCCTCCTTCCTTCATGCTGTTCCTTTCTTGGTCTTTTAGATTTACAGAAAACCTCACTTATTCAGACCTAATCCCGAGTTTCCTTTTGTCAATAAGCTTTCCCCTTTGAAAATTTTTACTGCTACAACCCTTTTTAGTGCCTATCATTCAATTTGTGTAAAACATTCTAGGCCTTAATTTCACATTGATTTTACTTCTATTCATGGGAGACAATCTCACATAAATTTACTTCAGAGGACATAATGTGACATACATGCCACCTGTCCTTGTGGAGATGAAAAATATTTTAGTTCATCAATTTTTTTAGATAAAATTAAATACTTTATACCTTAGCAGAAATTTTTCTTTTGAAATGATGTAGTAATATGCCTACATTTGTATGATTAGCCTTTTATTCTAATTCAGTTTATGCCACAAATTATAAAACTAATGTGCTTGTTTGCAGTATAGAAAAAATGGCTATGAAATACCCAGTAAGAAAAAAGTTGCATTTATTCTCTCCCATGAGATAGCCAGAAACGGGACTTTGTTTTATCCCTCATTGTGCAATGGTTACAGCTTTTCTGATACACAAAACATAGAAGCTCATGCTACCATCCGAATGTCTGTGATGACGCCTAGGGATGAATTGGGAAATTTTGTTTAGCCGTTGAGTCTAGTATTTCCAGCTCTGTGGTTTTAGCTTGTTTCTGATGGTCTTATAAAGTATGTGCTACTCAATCTGGAATCCTGGTTGCATTGTATTTTGTGGTCATTATCCATTCAATTGAACAGAGAGAGTGATACTATTGGCTAGTGGAATTAATGTCGGCTTTATGCAAGCTTGGAGTATATTGTGGTGTTTAGCTTGCCCACTGGATGCCTCTTTTTAATTGTGTGAGCAAAGATTGAGTGCAGCGTGCGTAAGAGACCACTTTCTTTTTCAGAGCACTTATGTAAATATTTCAAAAACTTAAGCATGAAATCAATATTGATTATTCTTGATAATAGTGTTATTGTAGAAACCATGCAAGGTGATATATAGTGCAACAAGTAAACTCTACAGCATAAATGTGGCTGAGGGTAATAAGCAAATGGCCAGGCATTGCTGTGTTCTAATGGTGGCAGGAAATGCGAGTAGGAGAGAGGGAGGGTGAGAAGTATCACTACGCTACTAAATCTGTGTTGTGAAATATGTGAAATCTGTTCACTTTGTGTAAATAAAATGTGGTAAAATATTGAAAAATGTTTGTTAGGGAACCAGGTAATTGGTTGTCTTGTGGCATAGCATAGAGTGGTTTTTTTGTTCAGCTTTAAGCTCCGTTGAAAAGTATAACTGTTTCTCAGATTCCCTAAGCATTCACTCTATATTATGCACGAGAAACACAAGCAAATGTGTCAACAAATCATTTACTTTTCAAAACTTTAAGTATCTACCTAAGTATAGCTTCTGATAATTATACAGAAATTGTGTCTGTTTGTGTGTGAGAGAACATGTTAATGTACATTTTAGACTTGAGTCTGATAGAATAAAGAGATATCAGGGCCCAGTGCATTGCCCTAGAGGCTAAGGTCCTCACCCTGAACATGCTGGGATCCCACATAGGTGCCAGTTCTAGTCCTGGCGGCCCCACTTCCTGCCCAGCTCCCTACTTGTGGCCTGGGAGGGCAGTCAAGGTTGGCCCAGAATCTTGTGGCCCTGCATCTGCATGGGAGACCTGGAGGAAGTTCCTGGCTCCTGGCTTCGGATCAGTGCAGCTCCAGCTGATGCGGTCACTTGGGGAGTGAATCATTGAACTGAGGATCTTCTTTGAATAAAATATCATAAAATCCTCTGTGAATAATTGACTTTGCAATAAAAAAAGAGAGAGAGATACCATCAACCTGCATGCTGATCTTATTGAAAAGCTCCAGAGAAACTTGATAATACCAAATTCAGTAAGTTAACCTCTTAACTCTGTCACACTGAAAATGAATTTTTATTTGTCAGCAATTTTCAGCAGTATTTTAGCTAATGTGAGAAGTCTCCTTGATAAGTATATTTAATGTACTCACACAGAAACTGCTTGGTGTACTACCAGTTCACATGTGCTTGACTCTGTAGAACAAACTGAATGAATTCATGAAATCAAGTATTTGGATGGTAAGATTTCAATTTGAGATTGATACATTAAAAATGTTTAGTATATCTTTTGTAACTTTTCATCAATTGATGAACATATTCATGATTTCTACCTTTGATGTACTATGAAAAATGTTAAGGTTATAGTAGTACAACTTGTTATACTATGTAACTATATAGTTATACATAGTATAACTGTATACTATATATGGCTAAATATAGTAGCTGTGGTTTACTTTTTCAATGACACAGCTGTTGTGTCATGATTTGGACTGGAACTCTGAATCTTGTTTTTTAAAATCTAAACTCCTGAGTAAGGTTTTGAGGATGAGTCACATTTTAGGATGTAAATTGTATTCCTTATCCAGGATGGATAAAAGTTCTTTTTTTTTTTTTAAGATTTATTTTTATTATTTTTTCATTGGAAAGGCGGATATACAGAGAGGAGAGACAGAGAGGAAGATCTTCCGTCCAATGATTCACTCCCCAAGTGAGCGCAATGGGCCGATACTATGCCGATCCGAAGCCAGGAGCCTCTTCCGGGTCTCCCACGCGGGTGCAGGTTCCCAAAGCTTTGGGCCGTCCTTGACTGCTTTCCCAGGCCACAGGCAGGGAGCTGGAAGGGAAGCGGGGCTGCCGGGATTAGAACCGGCGCCCATATGGGATCCCGGGCGTGCAAGGCGAGGACCTTTAACCACTTGCGCCACTGCGCCGGGCCCGATAAAAGTTCTTTTGCCACAAGAAAGATGTTACTGTTCCTCTTCGCATGTTTAAGAGGAAATAGGGAGAAAACTGCTTTGAAAACTACTTTGAAATTGCCTTCCAGAGTAGCAAGGTGCTCTAAGCATCGCAGGTTCAGAAATAGCCATTTCCCCGGTAGCCTTTAGAAAGACTTAGTTTAATATCACAAAGGGTGGATGTGTGCTCCAAGATTCCTATTCATTGATGGATAGTGAATACTGTTTAGCTGTTTACCAGGAAACAGGTTTCTCCTATCATTGATATTTTATTTAAATAGGATCTCATATCACAAGACTAAATAGAAACAGTAATGTGGAGTAATGAGGTAGCTGATTCTGGTAATTGGTTTCTTTGATTTTGGTGACTACAGTGCAGTTGTTTTGTACAGATGCATGCGACTGGGCTTCTGGAACATTTGAATTAACTGGTCTTTCTCATGAACGCATAAATTTGTCCTATACCAGTGACATGTCAGTACACAAATGACAGGTTTTCTGTGAATGAGAATGCCAGGAGATGTCCCTTTGCCTATTTGTTAGAAGGAAATATATGAAAGAATTAATATTAAATTTTTTTTTGCAGTGCCAGGGTTTATAGTATCAACCATATTTGAGTAATGAAAGATTTTTTTGCAAATACACTTGTCACTAATCTACCAGGGAAAGGTGGTTGCTCTTTTACTCCAATAAGAAAGTAATTAAAAGTTATTCTGTTTTCTTACATTGTTGACATTGCTCAGTCTTAAGTTTTTGATTCATCTATTCTTTGAGAATCATACATGAGCATTAACATAATAAGGATTCAGTTTTCAAACTTAGACAGTTTGGGATATTGAAGGTATTTGAAAGCTCTGTTTTTCATGTTTTCAGAATTTATCTTTGAATCGCTGATTCAAAACTAAAGGGAACAAATCTATAAAAGTGATCTAGGTTAAAATTATTTAAAATTTTATATATTTTAGAGATATTTTTATTGAAAAGTCAGATTTACAGAGAAAAGAGACAGAAAGATATTCCATCTACCAGTTCATTCCCCAGGTGACCACAATGACTGGGGCTGAGCCAATCCGAAGTCAGGAGTCAGGATCTTCTTCTGGGTCTCCCATGCAGGTGCAGGGTACCAAGTGTTGGGCCATCCTTGACTGCTGTCCCAAGCCATAGGCAGGGAGCTGGATGGGAACTGGAATAGCCAGGATACGAACTGGCACCCTTATGGGAACTCAACTCATGCAAGGCAAGGACTTCAACCACTAGGCTGCCATGCTGAGTCTAACTATTTTTTCTATGATTTAGGCAAAAGTATCATAACAAGAAAGCTCAGAACATTTAAGAGGGACTAATAATTTTTCACTTAGGAGTCAGGTGGGAGGAACACTTATTTTAAAAATTGGATGAGAACTATTCAGTCAATTCAGCCTAGAAGTGACAAAACACCAGCTATTCCATGTAGAAGAAATGCAAGTTAGATAGGCATTTTCAAATAAACTAGATGAGTAAGTCCCCCTTTCCTTGAGGCAACTGACCCCAGGCAGTTCTGTAGGAGAATGTGGGCAGGGGGGAGTCTAACCCAGAGTGGACAAGGGGCAACTACTCCTGTTTGTACTCTTAGTAGAAGAGAGAAAAGTTGACATCTGCTTCAGTTTGTTTACCAAAGGTCTCCTCTACCTGACAGTATTTCTTCAGTGCATAGCATGCAAGCTTTTAGGCAGTGTATTTTCCTTTTCTGTATGTAAAATTTACATAGAGAAATAGGTATGTGAATGAGGCATAAAAGCATATTTATCTAGAAAAACACATATAGGGAAAGAACTTTCAGGGGTAGATAAAATTAAATTTGCAGCAGAAAATGTGTTCCACACTTCACATACTGTTTATTAATTATGGTATGATATGCTCAGTCCCCCTTCTCACAAGATCTGCCTGGCATTGCTGCTGTGCGTTTTAAATTTTTATGAAGCTTTTCTGTAGTGCTCCTTTTGCAGGAATGCTATGTAAAGCTCTAAATATTGAAGAGCTTTTCAGTTAAAGGTATTTGTCCTCATACCTCAAGTTTGAAATACATCAAATACCATATTATCACTATTGCCACAAAGTATTGTGTTCAGTGCTACTTAGGTCATGTTTGGGGTGTTTACATGAGAGAAAACATTTATTTGAGAGACAGAGTGACAAGAATAGTTAGTTCTTCTATTCACTGGTTGACTATCCAAATGGCTGCAAGAACTGGTGCTGGGCCAGGCCAAAGCCAGGAGCCAGGAGCTGCATCCAGGTGTTGGGGCCCTAAGTGCTTTTCCAGCATCTGCTGCCTCAACAGGTGGGTTAACATGAAGCTAGACTGGAAGTGAAGTGGTTGTGAATCAAACTGGTATTCTAATGTGGGATGCCAGCAACTCAAGTGGTAGCTTAAGCCACTTTGCCATCACACAAATACCAGGATACCTTTAATTATAAATGCTTTAATAAGAATACCAGACTCTACAGAATTGTACCATAAAATTAAAAAAATTTAAACAAAAATAACCCCTGCAAAAAAAAAAGAATACTCCTAATAGGAACAGTTGAAAATACAGTGTAAAATATTTGTTCACATTTCATAATGAAGAAAATAAAGCTAAATTAGTCAGTTGTTTGAAACATTGGCCTTAAAAAAAAACACAAAACATTGGCCTTAACTACTGAAGAAAACTCAGTTGTAATTAAAGTTGTATTTATTTGCTTACTTCTAACCTAGGCAATCATAAATCATAAGCTAATTTAAATATTAGCTCTTACCTATATTTAGCTTTTTTCAAGTAAATAATTTAA